TAATACACTATATAACATAAACACAATATGGAAAACAAAAAATTAAATATAACTTCAAGCAAACTAGTTGTTGTATTATTGTTCAATACAACTCCTTAACCTTTTCCTTGTGAGATCAATTTAAAACGTATTTGAAACTATTTCAGTCACTCTTTTCATAGAATCCGGTGCTGCACTATAAGAATATTTTTCTATTTAGCTTATCAATGGCCAAAAATACGTACTTGTATTTCACTGAAGAGGTGCAATCTTAATCGCCTTAAGAAGGTTACACCAAAAAATATTACATTTAATGGTGCGGTCATGCGAAAAATGGAAAGTGTCTCTACTATGCTTCCGGTAATACAAAGCCTGCTCGACTTTTCTTTTTTTTTTATTATTCACAAATTTGACAAAGGAAAGGAAATTCTCAGAAGTTTCGATAGACTTTAGGGTGGGACGGTCGTTTTAAAAGTACTTATGCGAGCACATACAAACAACCGCAAACACACACACATATTAAGTGCATGTGAGTCAGAAAGTGTTTTATGAATTATCGATTTTCATTTAAGAACAAATTAAAGTACACACTGAGAGATTGAGAGACAATGGGTTCAACAACTACAAAGCTATCTTGCCTGTTGACATAATGAAATTCCAGCTAGGTATTTTGTCTTTGTCTTTAATTTTGCCTGGGCAAATCTTCCCAATGATTGTCAGTCAACAACAAATTTAGAAGGTGCCTGTGGCCCAGCTCATATTGCTGAACGCACGGCTGGGCGCAAAGTGACACAAGTTAAAGGTCAGCATGGAATTAATGTAATTAACGTGTGTGGCAGGCAAATTTGTGGTGAAACTACATCGTCAAGAACGTGTGGTCAGAAGCACTTGTCATGATGAGCTCTCCACTTTGCAGACACTTTCTGTTAGTACGTTAGCCAGAAGCTAATGTCTCCTGACACTGACATGCAACAGTTTCACTGTTTCGCGAATTTCGACCGGCTCCTCCAACAAGTTTATAGATTGCTAGCTACTTTTTAGCCAAAACACTTAGGATGACATCACGCAATGGCGGTCGCCATCAGGGGTACAATCAGAGCACATACAACGTAAAGTAATTACAGACCCATGTGGCACGCAGGTGGCTTCCAAACTTTGCCAAAATGGGAAAACAAAGCCAAACAGTTGCGAACTTGGCTAATGGAGTGTGGAGAGCAGAGCGTGGCCGAGCATGTTTCTTGATTGCCACAAATTAATTAATAATGCTTGTAACATTATCTTTAATTAGATTGCTGCAAGTACTTATATATTAGCAGAGGGCGACTAGTTTACGGTCTAGCGTGCTGCGTCGCTTGTAGGCACTCACATACACACTCGTAGGAGGTGAAATTCTCACGGAAGAATCCAATCTATTAAAGCTAAGTCAACATTATAAATGAATTAAAATAAGTCACACCAGCTTGCCTTTCATTTCATTCGTGAGTCTCTAAGGTAACTTAAACTCGAAGTCAGCAGTCGTGTTTAAGATTAAGCTAAAATCCAATCTAGGATAATAAGGATGCATGTTAAGGACGGTAATAATGAGCAACGCACACGCAGCGCATATCAGTTTAAATTATTTATTATGGATAAAGTTACATTTCTACTCTTGCAAAAGGATTGCTCAGGATTGTTTTTGAATGCTTTTGAGCAAAGCATAATTCCCAAGTTACAAATTTATACATTTATTATTCTCATTCCGTATTTAGCCTCAAGGATCTTATTTTTTCCAAATAATGTTGTAAGATATCATAGTAAACTTATTTTGCAGTCTGCAAATTAAAATTGTTATTTAGAAAATCTGTTTTTAACCTCAATAAGAATTATTATTTAGATTATTTACAGAAACTCAACTCAAAGTAATAAGTATAGAACCATTGTGAAATGCTTTCTGCCTAGTTAAAGTTTTAAATGTTCTTGGTACGCTCATTAAGATGATAAAATACACCAATAGCTAAAGTTAAGCCATCTCAATTGAGCGATGCGCTACTCATACATATATATTTGCATACTTCAGATATCCGCACAACCACCTTGTCAGCTTGTTACCACCCAATACTGATAGTCAGTGTTTTCCACTTTGTTGTTGGCGCGCAATAAATATTGATTACGATGGTGTTTGAAATTGTTGTGGGCTTATTTGGTTGAGATGGCTGGCTTAATGTTCCGTTGAAATTCTAATTTATAAACCAATTAGCAGCCAAAGCTCATGGTGCTCCCATAAATTTTCGCTGCCAACAAATTTAATCAAACTGTTCACTCGTTTCACTCAGTTTCTTACTCTTCTCGCAGCTCGAACGGATTTCGCAATAGTTCCAGAGACACGTTTGGCCGAGCTGTGTTGTCTTTGCCCCTGGAGGGCGTGTACTTAGTCCCAAGTTGATTTCATTCACGCTTCGTTAATTCGAATCCGTTCCAAAATCGACTAATCGCACAAGATTCCTCTAGCATACTTAGTTTGTGTTCTTAACATAGATTCATGTAAGTACTTAGTATGATTATCTAAAAGAAAGCAATAAACGAAACCAAACATTTTAGGGGATTAATTTTGCTTAAGGAACTAAATTAGACAGTGCCATTTCCATAAGCTCAGCTAAAATTAAGACAGATAATTAGATTAAGTTATTTTCTTACCTACCCAAAATATTCGTTCGGAAAAAAATTGTGTTTGCGTTGTTTTTTTTTAGTAAGTATTTTATTTATGAACTATAAATTTATTTAAAATGAAACATATAAAAGATACAATATATAAGTGAAAATTAACTATAACAAAATTATATTCACAGTTTAGCTTAAGTTCAAACTTAGTACTATGCATTGGTTTTTATTAACATTTTCCATATAATTTATCGAACATTTTGTATTTTTTCCGATCAGTACCTAGGCGTACAATTTCAATTACAGAATGCATTTGAGATTTTAATTAATTTGCCTGTAAGTATTTGTAGTGATTTTATTTTACGAATAGTTGCGATTACATCTAATTCATAATGCATTTAGGGGAGGTCATTTTCTAAAATTTAGCGTAATACGAATATTATATGTACATTTAATGAATAACCTCTCTATTGTGACCATGTGTTTGTAGTTATTTATTAATTGAGCCACACCCATCCTATTATATGCTATTCACGAACCGGAAAGACTGCAAAATATAGCTGACCACGAAACGAAAAAATAAACATATAATAACAATTTGCTCGTAAATTGAGTTTTTATTTACGTTTAGGTCCATTTTTCATGCAACTGCACTATAATTGCTATCAGCTATCCTTTCTTTTTTGTTTGCCTAATTTTGCTCTATATTCTGTATTATGTTTCCTAAACATTGTATTTACACTTTGGCTAATTGGGGAGTGGGGCGCTGATGGCTATTTTGAAACGTGAATCGTATTACTGTTGTATGAATTTGGGTTAAATATGCCGTTATATGTACATACTAATTGGATACAGCCCAACCTTGTGAAACTATACACTTAAATTCTAATTAGGAAGGCACTTGACATTTGAAACTATAACGTCAACTTTAACAAAGAGATGAGAGACGACTAGACCAACAAAAAACTTGAAACACACACACAAATAGTACAATAGTATTTACATAGTATATATGGATCTGCCCATAAAAAACACGAGACTACGACTATTTACTAGAATGTTGTCTGCAGCAGCATACCCACGCATACGCACACACGCACACACACATACATTCACACGGGCTTAAATATTTACATACATAAATACATGTATGTAAGTAGATATGCAGGCACAGGTATCATCAACCTACTCACCTTGGCACGCAGGAGCAATCCATTAACTCGCAGGCCAACAGCTTTCTATGGCCCAGCCGAAGGCATTTGGGTCCGGATATTAATTGCGATCATCCATTTGTAGCGCATTATATCCAAATACCTACCAATGAACTATGAATACACGCGAAATCACTCATACGACTAGTTGTACGCAGCGCTTGAGTTATGATTTTGCCTCGCTATACATATGACCTTTGTTTGTTTTGTTGTGGTTATCCTTCCGGTGTAGCGTTTATGAAACTCGGCGCCCTATATAAAACACACACACTCACAGACTCACACACACATTCACACGCAGTCACACGCACAGGCACACACTCTAAACTTAAGCTTGCCCTCCCATTTACGCACTCGCCCACACATCTCTCGCACTCGCATTCACATAGGTGCGGACAATTATGAAGATTCGTTTTAATACAAAAAGGGAGTATAGTAAAATTTATGGGGAATGCATGTACACACACACAAATATGTGTATACAATTTTGGGACTCGTGTAGCAGAAGAACAACAACATTGCTCGGCACTGACAAGCCATTAGTTTTCCCCCTGCTGTCCAACCTTGGGCATTTTGTTTCTGGTTTGCTTCCTTGATGATGTATGTGTGTGCTCGTTGCTGTTCTTCTTAGAGGCTGTTGCCGCTTATTCATAGGATCTGTGTTTATATTTATGAGTGCGTTTACATTATTAATAACATAAAATGAGCTCCACGCAATTTGTTTTTATTTGTAACTTTCAACCGTATAATTTTGTGCGCTAGGAAGCTGCTTGATTCTTGGTTATTGTCTGCTTAATTGGAGCATCATCGAAGCATATTACATACATTTTTAACGATTTCACGTTACTATAGTAACAATTGTGGTATTAAGCATTTTGGTGAGTCAAGGATTGCATGAAACAAATATTTAATGATATCGGATTCATCACTCATTCAGTTGGATTATTCTGCTCACACAAACAACATTTCAAAGCTTAATCGATAGATTTTTCTAGCCTAACTTTGCTTGTTGGCGTTCCACTGGGAGCCGACCTACTACGTACTGAATAGCTATGCGTATATTCCATTCACTATTTAATTTACAGTTAAAGGAAGCTCGTCCATTTAAGTATAGTTATGCATATATATAAATATATATATATATATATATATATACATATATTTATTTTTTTTTTCTTTTCTAAAAACAGACTCCAGCTAATTTTGTCCAGACTGGTTGAGTAAGCCATTTATTCTTTACAGACCTGTTGTTGTTCTTGTTCTTGTTATTAGAGCTGTTTCCGGTTATGACTCTCGGTCTCTGGGGTTAGTTCATCGCCCTCTGGGTTTGTATTGTCTTTTATGCTAGGAGTACTCAATGGCACTGCTACTCCATTGTAGGCATGTGGCTAGGGCCTCGTTGGTGCCGACATATGAGCGGCATCTGGACCGGAGACAGTCGGCGGCTCTGCCTGAGAGCCTGTCGCACTCTGCCTGGCATAACTATGGACGTTCGGGGAGGTCACGCTGATGGCTGTGGTGTAAACGTGTGGCTCACAGTCCCCCATGCTTGGTCATCCATAATAAAACTGTGAGCTTACGGGTAAACCAGTTGAGAGAGTACGCGGAGCCGTGCCATCATACGAGAGCTGTGAATGAAGCATTGCCGTCGTATTCGGCTTTGTGCGGCGCAACGTTGATGTGCCCGGGGCTGGAACATGACTTAGCGTTGTCATGGCCAGCGGCGATGTGGTCGGCGTCTGTTGGGTCTGCGGATGTGCCGGAGATCCGCTGGCTAAAGAGGAAGGCGGCGTCGGTGAGTTGCTAGGCCGCTGGAGTACGCCCATCCCATCGGCGTTTAAAATGTAGCCACCGCGAATGGTGGGCGCCGTTGTGTATTGAGTGAGGGACGTAAGCGGAACCATAGTGTCTGCAAAGCAAAGCAAAGCAAGCGAAACAGTTGACGAAACTCGCTTCACAATTCGAATGAACCGGCTCGGAATTGCGGCTGAAAGAGATACTTACTTATGCCACTGCTGCCGGGCAAAACTCCACCAGGACCGTTTGCACCAATAACAATCGCTGGTGCCAGAATGCTCGTCATGGGGGCCTGCCCAGAAGTTGCATTGCCGGCACTGCTCGTCGCCACATAACTGCTCGGGCTGATGCCAATTAGATCCGGAGACTGACGTGCACCCATCAGCAAGGGATTTGTGATTAGGCCGGGTGTCGCACATGATCCGCCAACTGTAGCCAACTGACTGGGCGCTAGACCAGCGTATAAGCTGCCGGCTGGCGCGTAGGTTATGTAGTTCTGCAGTGGCAGATGATAGATGGAATTGACTGATGAATAGAGATGAGCAGGGCTACCCACCTCGTTCTTGGATACACTCGGCACTGGTATGGAAGTGGTAAGATCAATGTCAGCGTCTATTTCCGAAATGGTGTCGTTGAATCCGCTTGGAATGGTTGTCTCGTCGGCCAATACACCGTTCCCGCCGCCCTTGGTCGAAGAGTTGGAATGCGTATCACTGGCCATCCGGCGCTTCTGAAGCACTAGTCGCGTGGCCACAATAACAATGGAGAACAGCACCCCAACCGATCCAACAATTAACAAATACAAATAGAGGCGCTGCTGGTCGTCTGTGGAGCACAATTTGGGAATGGCATGGAGTTGGAAAATGTGTTTTCATAAAAAAAAATTGTACTTGAGCCTAGGATTTGCCTAATAAGGGCACCATAAGCCCGGTCGTGTCTTATTTCGAATTGAATTTAAGTCGAATTTAAAGCTGTTTGTTTGCAAACAGGATTTGACATTCGTAAAAAGTCTGCGACTTCCATTGTGACAATGAGTCCTTTAGGGATTATGCCAACGATTCGAGGGTGTTTCACATAAGGCCCCCGGTTGCCAAAATTCCGGGAAACGTGACACTGGCAGTGGACTGGCGCTGACTTATTTTGTATACCCTTGCAGAGGGCAAAGTTTTTTGGTCGTTAACTTTGTAAGCTAAACAATTGGACGAAAGCTGAGTTCGTGTACCAAACAACTTTTTTGTTTACCGACCTACTAATACCCAAATCAATAGTTTCATGTTGCTTCCCACATTTTGGGAAAAAATCATCAACATCAGACCACTATATCTTATAGCTCCCATTGGTGCAATCGGTCAGCAAGGGTATGAAATTCGGCTTGCCTATGAAAGCCATCTTGTCTTGTTTCTATTACTGTAAATGTAACCTAACGTTTAGGTCATGTCAAATTGGACTTACCCTCTAGACTTAAGTCAGCGCTATGTGTCATCACCGGATTGACGCCGCTACCATCCGCATCTGTGTCCAGTGAGCTGTTTGCCGCGGGGCGAATGCCATCTGGATTTGCGTTGGCTGCGAGTCCGGTGCCGCTGGTTCCATTGCCTTGCGCTGTTTTAGTTGTATTACTGTACAATTTGGGTATGGCCTCTGACTCCTTGTAGATGAGATCATCGTCATACAGGTCGTTGATGTCGCCCTCAAAGTCCTCCGTCTCGTCAGCCTCCACATCTGACTCATTGCTCTCCTTTAGCACTTGCTTCGGCACTATGGAACAAAGACATAGAGCACCCAAACGAGCAACATAAATCATGTGGCCAAGTCACCGGTAACGGAGGGTCGGACGCCAAGCACCAGACATCAATCTTGCGCTCTGACGCGCGATACCATGCGATGCGATGCGATGGGATGCAAAGCGCCAACAAAGGCGAGCCCTAAATCATTCTGAGTGGCAGGACCAAACGCCCCTCGACTTTTCCCACGTCCTACTTACCGCATGTGTAAACAACTTTCAAATACATTCGCGAGTTTGGTTGGCATGGCGTGCCAAAGGTATTCGCATCGGCAGCCAAGTTGCAGCGCCTTCGTCCATGGCAAATTTGCATCACCGTCTCCGTTGCGAACGAGGCTAGACATGCTGTTAAGGGGAAGTTATAGAACAGAGGTTAATCATCGGCTTAATTGATGCACCCCACATAAAAAATCAAAACTTACTCTCTTCGCGGACACCCTGCGGCTGCGGACACTGAATGCTTTCATATTCGGTGCGTCCAAAGCTGGCACTGTAAAGGGCTATCCGCGAATACGGATTGCATTCCAGCTGTGCGACATCATTATGACAGGCAACCTTGCTCCGGAACTCATCTACAACAACCGAGACGCAAAAGGTAACATTATCTCTAGATGCTTTGTGTATGATTCTTGCTTCGCATATACTTTGATTATCCTTATCTCACAATAGAAACACGCGAATTTTGCTACATCTTTGTTCTCCACAAATTAATGATCATGATAATCAACGATTGAAAGCTATGTAATTGAAGGGCTTCAGTTGTTCGTTTAGTTCATTGTGTGCGCATCATTAGGGTTACTTGAGATTCAACAACAAATATTCCAAATATTCCGTCGGAAATGACGCAGCACATGCACTGCAGTTGTGAAGCCCTCGATGGCCCCGATGGCTGTTTGGGGCTATGCGCCGCACGCTGCGCGTAAACTTAATTTTCCATCGTCGATGGTGTTTTTTGTTTCCAAGTTATACATGCACGTGCAAAATGCTATTGGACTGGCAATGGGCTGTAGGGCGCAGTTGCCGTTGGCATTGCTACGCCAGTTCGAATTCGATACGCTTGCCTGCCTCCTGCCTGCTGGGATATACCCGGCCCTCAACTGCTGTTTAGTGCTAACGGACTAGTCGATACTCGCCCGAGAGCCGTTGCTTTCTTTCCACCTGAGTGCATTTTTGGAACACACAACAGCCACGCTAAACTTGTTGTCTGGATGCCTGTGTGGCTGGGTGGGTCTGTAAGCGTCTGTGCCAACCATACTTGTTTCGCAAAATATTGTCGTTGTATGCTGCAGAACGTGCGACTAGTCGAGGACCTTTCGCTACACCCTGACAATTCCCCGTCCCACCCACACTCCATCCTACACCACCCTGTCGAAAAACCTAAAAGTCTGGATAAAGCCAACTCTCGTCCAACTCGTTCGGCTGGACGCTTGTGTGTCGATTCCGGCAGTTGAGATTGTTCAGCTCAGTTTGCGCAACCGTTGTGCTTGTATACAGAATTTGTTGGCTGGTTTACGTGTACTTTTGCACGCCCAATAAATTCAACCAAATTAAACAAAATTTGCGCTGCAACTGTGCTACTTACATGGACGACATTTGTAGGCGACCTCGACAATTTTTCGGCGCTTGGGACAGGGGTCGTTGCTGATTGCATTGGAGCTGGCCGTGCTGCTGTGATAGCTGCTGGTGCCGGATGCATCGCCCACACCGCTGGCGCCCAATCCGTAAAACTGCGGGGAGCCGTGAAACTTGCAGTGCTTCTTCTTCTGGCAGGCCTCCACAACAGTCTGCAGCAGTGAGTACTGTAAGCGGGGAGAAGAGAACAAAGGTAAGAGAACGAAGAAGAAGAAGAACGAAAAATCAGTTACAGTTTAGTTTTCCAATTTCTTTTTTCTTTTACTTGGTACTCTGTCGTATTAGTGTACAAACAGAAGAAGCTGAAAAGTGAACGAGTTCAGGAACTGAGCGGAAATTGTAAACTTTTCAAATTGAAATAAAATATTTGCATTAAAAATGTAATTGAGGTGTTCCGAGTTGTGTTTGAGCTTCTTTTCAATATTTATTTGTGCTTCAGTTGATGATTTGATCAAACTTTGTCAAGTAAAATATGTCATATAAGGTTAATAAGCAACAACTAACCAGCTGGATACTCACTAGTACTATAAACATCTATCGCCGTGGATTGATTGAATGAAATCACGAAATTGCACAATGTCAACGCTTATTTTTTCTTTGTTTGTTTCAGAGAACTCGTGACAATAACATATTTTGTTGCTTGCGCGATATTCAACGGTCCAATGAATATTGACAGATGGCCATTGGTTTAAAAGTGTGTAAGTATCCACTTCGATACACACTGTTAGGTACTCACCTAGGTTAGTACTCACTCGTAGATATTCACTGCGGTTTCACGTACAAGTTTATATATTGCTTTTGTAAACCTTTTTAAATAACTTGTCTACGCTTTTTCCCAGCATCATTCTTAATTGAAATAAACCTAGACTAACGCATGGCAGTCATACACTTTGTATTCATTTGTTATACAACATGTTGTAGTTCATCAAATGGTTGGCATCTATTCAATCAAGAGCCATATTGTTGCTAACGATCTGCATTTTGCAGAGAATTAAATTAGGATTTCTGCTTTGTTTACCGTTCTATTTAGTGCTGCAGACAGCAGGCAGACACGTCCAGTTCCGGCCCAACACAAAAAGACCGCGGATATCACACGACTGTTGTTGTCTCGTAATTTGCAGCGCGAGTATTAACTGTTTATTTTCAAGTTATTTTTCACTATCTTGCGTTGACAGCACTGGTCGTTGGGGACAGCCCGACGGACTGACGAACAGACGAACAGATGAACAGACAGAGCACAGGCTTAGTAAAAGCAGGTTGAGATTTGCTTGGCACTGTCAGCCGTTGGACGAGTCGTCACAAAATTTAATAACAACGACAGCGACAGTGACAACAGCAACACCCTGCAGGGCATCAAAGCAATGGAGAGGGAAAAAGAAGCTTTCACAACGAACAACGAACAACGGACAACAACAAAAATGAAACAAAAAAGAAACAAAAAATCGAGTGATGAACAACGAAAACAGCCCGTTGAACAATGGCGGAAATGAAAGAAAAAAAAACTATGCGAGAAATTATATGCTGCGGTAGCCATTTTAAGCGCCATGTTGGCGCTGTTCATCTGAAACTTTTGGGATCGCTGCCCGGCCTAATGATACCCCATGGGACGTGAAGGCATCTTGGCCAACACAGCGGGTAGGCCGACATGCCAGACAACGCATTGACTTTGACACAAAGGCAACATTTGGCCTTCGTCAATGTTATTTGCGCTACGCATGCTGTTCATTTGGGTCCTATACTTATGTATGTATGTATCTGTGTATGTATGTATATATCTGTGTATGTATGTATGTATGTATGTATGTATGAATTGTATGTAATAGCTCCTACTGTCAATTTTAACGAACATTAAGACCGAAACGAATTCAGCTGTCCCGTATTGTTTTCTACGTTTCTTGAATTTGCAGCAAATTTAAATTCATTTTCATTTGCTGTCAACGACTTTGGGTTCAAAGGATGCGTTCAGATGTCGGAAAAGGCAACTGAAATGTTTAATGAATTGGAAGCGTTATTCTGGAATGTCTTCTGAACGCATTTCCCTTATCCTTTTGAAGGCAACTGGAATTTTAAACGACATTTAGGCAACTGCAAAATGTGAGCTTAAGCACACCCAAAGGAATTCTGACATGTTGCAATTACTCAGTTTCTACAAAGTGACATAATTCGAATAAATTTGCAGTAATACAATCTTCGTTTCAGTAGTGCTACGATAGTATTTATTGCTTACAGTGGAAGCACAAAAATCTAAACATTTTTGCATTTATCTCTTTTCGTATTATTTTAGGTTTGGGTTGCTTCAACATTCCTTAGCATCTTGCAGTTTTCTTTGCGACAGCCATCCAAAATTGGATTACCTCTCAGTTTGCTTTATTTTTTAGTTACCTTGAACCATTTTTTTGTTTGTTTTCTTTTTTGTAATTTTTAATGCACCTCGTTCAGCGCTTTGTAAAACTCACAGTAAACGCTGCTGACTTACCTGCAGAGCATTTGGCCACATGCAACTTTCGGAAGAGTTTTCGCCCTTCTGAGCATCGTCTGCTGAAGATTCGGTGTTGGTTGCACTTAGATTACTGGTGCTGGTGGGAACTTCCATGGCCATTGCCCCTAATCCGTAGCCACCATTCATATAGCGATTGGCGGGCACCTTTTGCGAAGTGGAGCCAAAGGTAGAACCACGCAGCAAATACTTGGCCTTGCCACGAATCTCAGGTCTAACGGTGCCGGTGATGGGGCATAACTCCTCAATGCTGTAGCCATCTGAACAAGTGAAATAAACATAAAGCACGAAATGGCAGACGTGTTGCGAATAAATAGCCCAAGGATGGCTCTCTCGGGATATAGATAGAGAGAAAGAGCGCACGCGAGGCAGAGAGAGAGAGAGAGAGAGTGATAGTGGGGGGGTGTACGGCACTTACCTTTCGCCACGAACTTATTGTACTGGGCAAATTCAATTGAAATGCTTGTGCCGCGCGGGCATGCAATTACCACCTGATCCGTATCGCAGGCCGCTTTCTGATATGTGCGCAGTGTGGCCGATAAAAGAGCTGTTCACGGCACGTGGCATGGATGCACAGCGATGTTCCATTTATTTAACCATCAAACCATCCGTTGGCATTCAGTAAGACACATACGAAAAACAAACAAGAGGAGGACAAATTGAAATCCATAATTAATTTAATTCTTTCTTTTTTAATCATTTAAAACCATAAATGGCAATACATATGTTTATAATCTGACGATGATAAAAGTAATGAGCTTATTTAATCTACACGCAACCGAATTATCGATATCCTACTAGTGGCCAGATTTAAACGCAAACTAATTAAGAAATTAATTAAAAATGACAGGATGCTGTCGTTCAGTTTTTCTCATTCCCTTTAAAAAGAGAACTCAACTCTGTGGCTGCATGGGGCGATTAAAGTGGAGGCCGTGTTGCGAACACCAAGCCAGCCACTCATCCACCTGAGCAATCAAGAGGCAACGTTGGTGAAACATTGAAGGTTCTGCGCTGTTCCAAAATGAAGCAACTCACTCAATGAAGTTGTGGCAACGGCACTCTGCAAAATGCCGTCAAGTAGCTCAGTCGCAGTTAGGCTTAAGTTTGGGTGTGGCAAGGTGGAAGTGTCTGAGGGGAACGGTAGAGATGCGCTTCCGCACTTCGAACAAGGCGCGAAGTGCACATTTTTAGCGCGCCAGTGCTCGAGCTCCCTTGGGTGCTCTTCTCTGCGAGCAAAAGTATACGAAATTCTTGGAAAATATTTTGGTTTTCCTCTTTTGTACTTTAGTACTTTAGACCACAGCTCCTACTCGAGGGTATGCTGCTGTAAAGTACGCTATCTAAAAGCAAAGTATGCAGATGGTTAAATATTTGTATATATATAGATATATATATATAATTTTCATTGATTCGTATGATTAATTAGATGCTGTAATAAAACCATTTCCAGCAATATCACATAAACTAACCAAAACTAAAAAAATGGAAAAACCCATCTATCAGTTGAGCAACTTCAACAGCGAAACAGTTGCGGATGCGGATGTACATATATATATGTATATGCTTTATATATATATATATCTATACAGTATAATACATGGCTGAAATTGGGGCATGGAATATAATTTAGCCGTTACCGCTTATTTCTCGGTCGGCATTTTATCTCTAATGAGTTTGGGGAGCTGCGCGTGCGAATTGGTTTTGTTTTTGATGACTGCCCATGGCAGGGGCGTGTCAGCCAGCGTCGTCGATGTGGATGTGGGTGTGAATGTGAGTGGATGAAAAAGACACTGAGATTGAGGATATTGCAGCCCAGTGCTGGCTGACTGGCGACGGGCGACTGATTTATATTGCAAGCCATAAATTATATTTAAATGGTGCGATTTCGCTACTGGCAACACACACAACGCTGGCCGTAATTATTTCCACAAATACATATTCTATATACTATATACATATATATATGTAAATACTATAATCATGGGAGAAACCGTTGCCTAGGCCATGGCCAAACAGTTAAAGGGCCAAATGGCAGGGTGACGCCCACTGACAATAAATTTCAAGTCGCGCATATCGGTCCGGCCCATCACTCGGATGCAAGTGGACCACAAGGACAGGCCAAATTAGTGCTTCAACCTAGTGTCCGAGTAGATTAATAGAGGAAAACAATTCATTGGTTCTCTGCCCTGACATATTATTAATATGTACAGATACATTTAATATTCAATTCATAAAGATCTACATTATTATTATTATTATTATTATTATTACACATGGTAATCTGTTTCCTGAACAAATTCTGTTTTTTTGTAGGACTGAATGCTTGTACCTCTTCCGAGCTTACGACATGTTTCCCTAATATACACAATTTTCTCCTAAGGCTAAGGCAACACAATCGGACAATCGGATATGTCAAAATCAGCATATTCCGCTACTAACTTCTTAGTCTACAGTCCTGTCCTGTCGAGAGACCGGCGAGTATTTTAAGTCTGCTCTTACAGAAAGCTTATTAAATTTCTACATTTCTATGTTATTCGCATATGCGTTCTTGATTTTGCTGTATACTTGAAGCACTCGCCCCGATGTTCATATCTCTGTTATTGTACACTTGCGACAGCTGGCGGTACATGAAATTAATTGTTATGACTTTGCAACCGGGTTGCTGGTCTAGGGGAAACTTTCGAATGGTTCCGTTGGTCCTTGACTGAATGTGCTAACCGTTGCCGGTCGGAAGCGAAAGTCTCTGAAGTTTTTATTGGTGCCATTTGACTTTGGCAATCGAATCACTTTGCCATGGAGTGAATCCAAATAAAAGTTCGCTTTGCGCCCGGCTATAAAATTCGGAATCGCCTGCCCTGCCCTCAACTCCAAACCAAAGAATCCCCCAATCCATATACAGCAGACTCCAAAAAGTTTACCTTTTAAAGTGAAAGTGTTTTTTCAGCGGGTTGCTTAAATTGAAAACACAATAAAAAAAAATAAAAAAATAACAAAAGTCCCTTTGACCTTGCGGTTTGCCCCCAAAACAGACAAAAGTATATAGGTAGGTGATATATATGTACTTATATAGTATACTTATACATATATACTCGTGTCTCCACTGACTGGCCACTAGTTGGATGATGGCGCACTTTTGAGGCGCTTGCATGAAACTTTTCATTTGATTTGGAATTGAAAGCGTTCCAGACAGTTGCCGGTGGCAGGCTCTCTCTCACTCTTAAAGACCGCCCGTTTACGAGCCTTCCGGGTGACAGGAGCTGTCGGGAAGGGTGTCAGGACAGCAAACTGCCGAGCATGAAATTTGTTTTGAACGTTACTTTCTCAACTTGTGAGGTCCAAGTGTGTGTGTGTGTGTGTGTGTGTGTGTGTGTGTGTGTGTGGGTGTGCGTTTTCGACATGTGCACCGCATCGCTTTACATACTTTTGAATAATTTAAATATATATGGGCTACGTTCTCACTCCACAACGTAATGATACAGTGCTGGCATCTGAGCGCTTGCTTCAAAGCAGATAACAATTGAATATTTATATCTACACATACTATATATGTATGTGTGTATGGGATTATGTCAGCGCATTGAATGAAATCTATTATAAAATGCCTTTCAAAGCAGATGCTGGTACCCTTGCGAAATGTATTTTTGTGGCCAATAAAATTGAAAACCTGTGTGGTTTGTATTTGTTGAAAATCTTAACTTCGGGGGTCTTTCAATTATCTAGGTCACCTTTCCCAATCTCTCTCTCTCTCTCTCCTGCTCTCTAATCGATTATTGAAATGGCAAGCTAAGCTAACAGTTGTCAAATATTTGATATTTCGGGATTAACAACAGAGTAAGTGTAAGAGAAAAATACAAAAACAAAGCCGATTTCTTCTTCAGTAAGCACAAACATTTTTTTTATTTTTCATATTATTTTGTTATATTTTTCTCTAAGCATATTGTTGACACTGAGGCTGGCTCGTCCTAAAACCTATACATAGACATAAAAAGGTAGAAAGAAAAAGGTATTTCTCCACTTGAGCCCTGTTATTTTGACAACAGTAAATAAGTATTGATGAACCCTCTTCAGTCGATGAGTAACTGATAATCTCAAATTCAAGCGATTAAAGTGATTCTTTCACCAATCGCAAAGTCAAACTAGTTGAGTGGAAAATATTTCAGTTATTAATCATCGACGAAGCTTGGGAACAGCTGCGTTTGTCCGCTATATTAAAATCACAATTTATGACATCCCAAGCAGGATTGGAGTTCGCTTCTGTTTTTCGAATGCAGCGCAAGCGTGTGATGTGGATTCAAGAAAATTGTCAGAGTTTTGATATACGGATGCATTCAGATATGAATTTATTCCATCGCATGTATTGCGTAATGGGCAATATTTCTCTGTGTTCATACATCGACAATTTGTTTTAGTTTTTCGGCTCACCGAATCTCAGTGGAGCTCCGCAGGCCTTGGCATCAACTGTCTTCTCTTAGCCCCGATTTAGTTGTTACTACTATTTGCTGGCTGTGCTGCCCGCCCGCATCCGCATCAAGGGAGACTTGCCAGCCGTCCCCTGGATATACACTGTCAACAGCCAAGACGAAGCTTTGGGACAGCCAATTCTCGATTGAATGCCCAGCTCTGCCAACGGGATTCAATGTGGAGCAACAACAAGGCAAGCAACTGTCATCGGGAGTTTGCCGAGTCAATGGCGCAGAAGAAATTGATTTGTTTTGATTTATTCTCATGTATTTGCCCGGGGCAGGGGTGTGGTCTCCCTACATAGCACCGACTCTCTGAGCTAAGAGTCGCCTCGCCTTTACCCTTATCCGTCCGGGTTTCGCACTTGCCGCTTTGATGTTGCGGCTGTCCTGTTTGCCTCTTTCCGATTCTCATGCAAAAATTTTGTTAGTTTCTTTTTGTTAGTCTGGTTTTTGGGCTGCCCATTCCACTGGTAGATTCCATATTTTATTGTCCCATTTGACTTGCTTAATAAATGGGAATTTGCCACTGTTGATACTGTTGTTGAACGAAGCTCGGAGCCAAATTGGCGTTCCGACATTTTTGCCCTGCAAACCCAAACTAATAAAACATGATATGTATCTGTTGTGCCCAGCACCCACTCAATTCTGTATCCTGTACAAATAAATCTAATTAAATGAAATTTAATATTTGGCATCTGTGTTTGGCCGAGCCAAATAGTATCGATTATGCCATAAAATAATAATACTAAGTCGTAGTCATCATAAGAAAATTAAATTAAGACCACAATTGAACAGCATCAGTTTATACTTTTTTATAGTTTTTAGTTTTTTTTATTCTTTCTCTCTATACAATTGGACTGCTGCGCTGAAAGGAGTGCTTGTAACTTTGGGTTTCCGTGGAAATGAGTCATTGTTAAGGTGCAGCGTAAAAAATAATAAAGAATAAAAATGTGAATTGTAAAATTTAGTCATAATATTTTCAGTTGTTGCCGGCAGTTGCTTTGTTTCCAGCTCGGGTTTTGTAGTGGACTCCGGTCTAATCCAGAGGAAACAAAAGTTTTATGACATTTTACGAGCTTTTTTA